CTCCAGGTGAGCTCTTCTGGTGCTACAATGTGACCCGCCCACAGAAGTACCGTAGACGCGAAAGCAAATCCACGTCCTCCATCTGTTATGCCTTGAACGCAAATTTGCTCCAGCAACAGTCATGAGAGGGGCTGTCAGGCTAGAGAACAAATTTCAAGTTTTTTTCTGCAGCGAATTGAAAAGCATACGTATGCGCTTGACAAAAATCTATTGTTCCACGCTTTATCGTTCTATTATCTTACGTGAAAAAAAAACTTTCCACATGTATTCGCAAGAAGTGCGTAATTCAGGACTGCACGACTTTTATTATTTTAAACAGAAAAGGGTTTGCTAACACTTAACCAGTAGGCAAAACCATTTCTGCTATAGCATAACACAAGAGAAGGGCATGAGCAGATTTCATTGAAAAACGTCTAGTAAGTAAGTCAAATTTCCAGCAAAAAGAGCAACTATGAGACTGCCATGCTTGTTTCGGAATCAATGATGCAGCAGCTACCGTAATGTCCCTTCCTTACGATAACTCATCATAAATGCGGAGAGCATGACACACGCGATCTCCATATGTTACCTATGAGTCCCGTGTATCATTGAGGAAAATATGGTCTTGCAAATATTCTTACAACAAGAGTTGTGTTCGATTAGGGATGCACGGAGAGATAGTTGATGGTCTTCTTAAAAATTGGCTTTTACAGATTTGTTTGAATTTTTGGGTTGGGTCTGGAGCATCATACACTGATGTAGCAAGCGGCGTGAGTGGGTGAACCTATGTCGGCAGGGTGAATGAGTGAATTGTTGTGGTCCTCGCTCTATGGATGGGGCACAATGGAAAAACACTGGGTTATCAGGCACAAACACTGCGATTCCGAAAGTTGTTGGTACCACAAATCTTGGATAACTCATAATGATTAAGGATCATCTGCTAAAACCAACGATTTTTTCAAAGACAAAATTCATGCATTTTGAGTAAAAGAGCGGAGTATAAGTCAAAAACAGTTAATATATCAAACTCCTATTGAAAACAGAAATCGATAATTGAAAATGAGAAGGAGAATAAGGCATTTAGAGCAATTTAGAGTAGCGCGTATCATTTTTACTTCCCCAGTTCTATAAATAGCAAAGGAGTTGTGCAAGAGCAGAAATGTTCTCATAATTGCTGCTTCCTTGGTTTATTTTCAAAGCCCAATTATTGTTTGATTTTGAGTACGTGCCAATATGTTGCGGCTATCATTGTTTGTATATTGCGCCCTGAGTTACACAAATGTCGCTTTTCTAAAGCAGTTTTTGATAAGAAGATTGGACAAGACGCGTACTAGAAATACCACTTATTATTTCCCTCCTCATACTTGGAATCGACCAAATTAAAAAAAGGATTCCATTTTTAATTCTTTTAAGAGCAAATAAAAATTCAGAATTACAGAGATTTTGTTTAATTTCATTGAAATCCAAATTGTAATTTAGTCAAAGTAAAAAATCAAATTTCAGGAAAAAAAGTTAATGATAGGTGCCTTACACATGTATTCGAGAATCAAATAATGCGATGCTTTAGAGAATATGAGAAATTGTCCCGTCTGTGGAAGCATTCACCGTTATAATAATGTGCTTTTGTCGGATTGCATAGTCGGCAGGGGCAACGATGGATGCGATGAGAAACGCCGACGATTTTACATGTGGTTCATTTACGGTCAATTGTCTAGTCGACTCTCTGTGAATTCCCGTAGCTACCTCTTGTCGTCTCAACAATTCACAATACGGTAATGCAATACTAGCGCGCTAATTACACTGAATAGCTCGGATATCAGAGCCGAAGATCCTCCTCAGCCAGCATATAATGCCGATGTAATTTCTGCGATTTGATATGATATTATATGAAAGAGCAGCTCGGACAGCATGAGGGGACTTAGCGAATTAAACGCAATGTGAGTGAATGAAGATGCATGGTTGAAGTGCTGTTGTACGGATGAGCTGTTATAGATCGCCACAATGCCTCGAAAAGGATTAAGCGCTGTAGGGTTTCATCAGCTAAGATCTGCTAAACAGCATGCAATTGTTATTGGAAACGTCCTGCTTCATGCGAGATTCAAGCGCATAAAGGTATCCCGAGTAAATGCTCTTCGCGTATAATAAGTTGAACTTCCAAAAAGAGCAAAAAAAAGGATATCCAAAAATTTCGCAAAAATACGTGTCGTGATAAGACAGTTTCAAAGGACTCCATCATAACACTGTTCTTCACAGCTG